GAACAGTGAGCGCACAGCCCCAGAGGCGGGAATGTGTCTGTCCTGTTGGAAGAAAGCAAGGCGGCCAGAGTGGCCGGAGCTGAGTGGGAGGAGGAGAGAGAGGAGATGAGAACCGAGAGGGAACAGGGGACCAGGGCATGGAAGGCCAGGTGGCACACGGCTCAGGGGACCCCTGACTATGTTCAGCCATGTTTTGTTCACTCTTCCAGAACCTGACAAAGGACCGTCCGTTCTTCTAATTAGAAACAGGCAGAATTCCAGCGCCTCCTCTCAGGTTGAATGGTTGAAACATAAGAAGATGGAGGATGTGCTTTGTAAGACTGTCCCCCGGGTGGCCAGTTGAACGTTCCGGGCCTCTTCATAACCAGGAGCGCACTCCAAATGCGTCTCTACCTAGGGCAGGTGGTAACCAAGCCCCGCCTACCTGGGTGATGCAGAGACTGAGTGCATTCTCGGACAAGGTCAAAGGGAGCACCATACATTCCAGGTGAGGAGTGGGGGTGGGCTGGATGGCAGCAGATGTCCAAGTGACACCCTAACGGGTCAGTGGCACATGGCAGTCAAGCTCTCAGGGGGATTTGGTGAGAGAACAAGGCTCCGGCCCATCCCAGAGACCTGACAGCAGGACGTTCTACTGCGGTCAGCCACCCAAGGAGGCTACTTTTCAGACCCCCTTTCTCTTTTTCTAAGACCCAAGGGGATCGCTGAGTCCATGAACCTTTGATCCTGCTTTGGTTGTCAATTAGCCAATAGTCTCTGACTCTCGTGGGCGTTTCTCCCATACCAGGTACAAATGGCCAAGTGCTGTGGACCACAAGCTTGCTGGCCTCCACTTCCTCAACGTGGTTACAGGCTCGGCAGTTCAAAAACATTTATTCAAGAAGGTTCTAAACTGCATGGCTGGATCTGCCTCGACTGGCGACGTGGGGACTGATGGGTCTTTACACAAGGTTTCTTCTCTTTTCTGCGGCATTTTAGGGACGTTTCATAAAAAAAAAGTAATGCCTTGCCTGGATTTCCTTACCCGATGATGAGGAATCCTTGGTAGAGAGGAACGGAGGCGAAGTAAAACACGGAGGAGAAGACAGCCTGTGCCGAGGAGGAAGAAGGTGTTACCCAGAATCGGGACAAAAGCCCTACGTTTATGTCCATACAAACGGCACCCAACACATACGGAGCACTTCCTCTACACCCGCACTGTCACAAGTGCGCTCGGCCTCACACAACCCTAGGAAGGAGGTACTGTCATCGTCCCCATTGGATAGATGAGAACCGAAAGGCACAGAGAGGCTAGGTGACTTGCCCGAGATCACACAGCTCCTAAGTGACAGAGCCGGGGGTCACACTCGAGGAGTTGAGCTCCAGAGTCCACTCTCAGACCCTCTGTGAACATTTAATCAAGTTCCACGAGCTAGACCCAGCCACACTTTGCATATGAGCTCAGTGAATCTCCAGAGCCACTCACGAGACTGAGTCCTCATGTCACGTGCATTCTACAGAAGGGGAAACTGAGCATGTCAATGGCACTTTGGGACTCTAGTCCACCCGTCTCCAGAGCCCACGCTCCTAGGAGGTCAGAATTACTGCCTTTCCGGGTGTGCAACTGGTAAGTTGGCATACATAGGGAAACCAACATGGAAAACTATCCTGCGTCGTGAGGCTATATTCCAGTTCCCCTGGACGGTGGGGTTGCAGAGGTGGCTTTACTTTTTATGCTACATGTTTCAGTATTTTTCCAATTTTTACAAATTGCAATTAGACAAAAGCAATAAAGGTAGTTACAAATCTTTACAAATCTTTACTGCCTGATTGGGAATCTATTAGCTATTGGCAGTGAGAAATAGGCTGGGCGATCAAATCCGGCCTGTGCTCTGTTGCTTTCTTCTCTGGACATCTACAGAAGGAAAGTGGTCTCCAGACTAATTTCTATTAGTATAAAACCAAAGGGAGACCAGAGACAACTGCCATCTGGAGGCTTTTTAAAAACGGAACACGGGGAGGAAGGCTGAGCAGACCAGTGATTAGAAAGGGTGTCTAACCAGAAATGTCTCCCTCTCATCACCTGTTAGGGGTGTTCACTTGGCACCAGGCCACGGTCATGAGCAGCTGTGGCTGCACCCTGGTCGTGATTTCAGAATTGAAAGTTAACAGCCACTTTTCAAATGACCTTTCATCCAGACTGGACCGCTGCAGAGAAAGAATGGGTGTACAATGTCGAAAGCCTGGTGTCTAGTTTTGCAAATCGACATCAAGAGCCTCTTTGTCTAAAAGGGTAGGGCTGACCGTTAAAAGCCTTCATCTTGGAAAGAGGACGATGGGGAAAATAAAAACGCTATGTCCATATGTATCGAAGACAGATGCCAAGGTGCGATGCTAACGGGGACTTGTGCTCAGCCAGCCATTTTCAGCACAGTGGACAGGGGTCACGGGCATTTTCCTGCAGGACAAAGAACAATTTCTCCTTGTGGGATATTTTTTTCTGAATCGATGTTCATGGCATTACAGAAGTCAGCTCATCTAGGCCAGCTCTTACGTATCGGCCCAGGGATGAGCTGATTAATTGCCCAGTGATTAAAACCGTAGGACTATCCAGTTCGTTTGATGAGCTAACATAAATTATAATGAACCATACCAGCTGTTTAGATTTACATCATGTTGATGAAAATCACTTTAAGGCTCCTACACTCATAAATGCAGCAGATATTAAAAACATACAGTCACCCCCAAAGGGCATGGATGAGGCCAGTGGAGGAAGAATTCTCACGAGCACAGAGCCGCATTGCCCGATGCATTCTCAAAGGCAGCCTAGCACGCCTTCTGCCTTTCACGTATGATTAATCACTTCCCCCGCAAATTAAAAGGTCACCTTATTTTACATATCATCCTGTTTTGTTTTTGTTCATCACGGTCAGGATGCCTTCAGCACCTGATCCCTTATAAAACTCTCTGTTTTTCAAAGCAGCCGTGTTCGAGAGGCAAGGGAGGTCTCATCATCCCCGTTTCACAGGTGCAAAGACTGAGACCCCGGGGTAGCAGACGACATGCTCAAGGTCTCACGGATACAGCAAGTCCTCACTCAACACTGTCGACAGGTTCTGCGACTTTAAGCAACAGGACGTACACCGACACCAATTTTTGCCATAGGCTAATTGGCTTAAAAAGGAGTTAAGTTCCCACGGCATCTCACCAACACACGTCATAATGAAACGACGTTGAACAAATCGGTATCATTCAAGGACCTATGTTCTCGCCTCCGGGGGTGTCCCCACCCAAATGCTGACAGAGGAAAATCAGTGGACAGTTTTTCAACACCTAAAATGTTTTCTTTCCTTCCTTTCAGCCTTCTTGCTAGTACACAGTTAACTGCTGCAGCCCGTTCTGCATCACAGATACCCAAGGACGAGGCCTTGATGAAGGGCACAGGGAGGAGTCCCCGTGCCGGAGCAGACTAAACCCCTGAGGGACACTGAACCAATTCCTTACCCTGAGCCTCGGACTCCCTACCAGCAAAATGGGCACAGGCTACTGTGAGGATTGCACCAGACACTGTATTGTGAACTTAGCCAGACACCCAGCATCTAGAAATCACTCAGAAAGAGCAAGTGAGCCTTCGTTTGTGGTTACCCTCTGCTGGCCCTTATTTCTGCATGTGGAAAACTCGGTACGCACTCGGCATTTTACGCTGTGTTTTTTTTTTTGTCTCTGGCGAGCCAATTACAAAAATTCGCTCCCAATGATAACAACTCTGGTCATTTACGTGACACCCATTTCGTGCCAAGCACTGAAAGGCAGCGCTGCCGATGTCCACGTGCACTCCACACGGCAGACATGGTCTTCACCTGCTAGGAGAGGAAAGACCTCATGCAATCTGCGGTCCATCAGCTGCAGTGTGGCCGCGCGCACCTGTGTAGAGATGCCAGCTGCACACCCACCTGCATGGTGCTGATACAGAGGCTCCTGTGAATCACGAACTGGCTGAGGGCGGCCGAGCGCTTGTAGCTGTTGCGACCGTGTACCATGAGCAGCCGGCCAAGATGCTTGAACTGAGTGATGGAGAAGTCCGAGGCCAAGGCAGCCTGTTTTCCTTCCTAAAATCCAATGAAATCGGGCACCGTCAGAAGCACGAGAGGTCAAGGCAAACACATTTTTTTTTTTAATTGAAAAAGCAAGACACTGTAAGGAGATCTTTGAAGAACTTCAAAAAAGAGACTCTTTGGTTTCAAGCTATACACAGTTGGTGGTCCCCATCTAAATTTGATTTTAAAAAGAGGAATTTATTTAAATAAAAAACATTCCGAATCACAGTCAGAATTTGGAGGTCAAATGGATCTAGTATTAAGCCTGAGGCTAAGGCCCGCTCCATAATGTGCATCAGAAGCAAAGAGTCATTCAAAGATAGATGTTTTACAGCACCCGGTCTCCTTAAGAGTTAAATGCAGAGCGGGGCAAATCAGATGCTGTGAAGGGTAGTAAATGGCACCTTCCTGAACACACAGCTTTGCACATTTACAGAAGTGGAAATAATTTATAGTGCAACCATATAATGGAATTTTGTAATTGTAAAGTTATATAAAGGTACACGACAGATGCCACGCGCAGGGCAGACGGACATCAGGGCCCCCGACGTGACACAACAGGAAGACACAAACTCCCCTTCGGTGCTACTCACACCAAAAACACAGAACCTGCAGTAAATCCCTCTGACACAGAGACATCATGGGACAGTCTACATCTGTCCTGAACGCTTCAAAAACATCGATGGTGTTACAAACACTCCTCCTCCCCCAAAAAAAGAAAAGATGGAGAAAAGTGTTCTAAAGAAGATTAAAGAGACACGAAGACATGCTAATAAATGCAATATGTGATCCTTCACTGGTTGCTATGATTTTTTTTCCTTAAAAAAGCATTTTGAGGACAACTGAGGAAATGAGACTGTGAAAATTATGTATTATTATTATATCGACATTACGTTTGGAGAGAGAAATAACGTTTCTTGCGTAGAAAAATGGCCCTTGTTCTTAAGAGGTCCACGCCGAAGTATTTAGGGGTACCATATCTGCAACTGACTGTCAACTGATTTGGGGGGTGGGGGGCGGAGACAGAGAATGTGGCAAATGTTAGCAAGTTAAAGCAATTAAAGCAAAGAGTAGACAGGAATGCATTGTTCTATTTCAGCTTTGCTGAAGGAGTGACATTTTTCAAAATAGAAAGTTTGAGGGAAGGTAAAAAAATGAGAGATCTACATGTTCTGACATGGAAAAAAATCCAAAATATCACAGATTTAAGCTGAATTAAAAATGGATAGTATAATGACTTTAATTTAAAATTGTACACGAAATTGTATATGTGCATGTGTAAGATATGTGTGTGTATATATATTTATATGTGTGTATATATATGATATATACATACCCGTAACCAATAATATACGCACAGGCAAAAATTCTGGAAGAATAATCAATGTGACTAGTTTGATGCCGCTATTTAAAAGAAAGGATGTACTTTATCCATTTCTAAACTGTTTTAATTTTTTACAGTGACTTTTACTTATTCCTTTTATACTCAAAAAAAAAAAAAAGGAATGTGATTTTAAGGGAAAATGTTTCAGTTCTACATAGAAATGTGTAAAGAATTCTATTAAACTCAAGTGTGCATCTTAAAAACCTCCGTTAAAGGAACCTCATATAGACGTCAGACTGAACATCTCATTCAAAGATCAGTTATCGGTTAACAAAACTGTCAAGTTGGATGAGAATGTGACAACCAGGGCGGGTGGGAAAGGGAAGGGGCCCGCGGAGCAGGCGAACTCACGGGGACGTGGAAGGAAATGGACGAGGGAGCGTCCCCGGGCCTCGCTCAGGGCCCCTGTGCTCCTATTTTACACACAGTTCTAACGAAGTCGGTGACCACTATTCTCGCCGAGACTCATTTAGAGCCGGAGTCCCCAACCCCCAGGCCGTGGACGGGGACCACCAGTCCATGGCCTGTTAGGGCCACACAGCAGGAGGTGAGCGGCCAGCCAGCGAGCACAGCTTCATCTGTATGTGCAGCCGCTCCCCAGCACCAGCATCGCCGCCTCAGCTCCACCTCAGGTCATCGGGCGTTAGATTCTCCTAGGAGCACCGGTCCCTGATGCCACAAAGGTTGGGGACCGCTGCTTCAGAGGGCACGAATATAGAACGAGCAGAATAAACCACGGGAGGCAAGCACAAGAGCACCGGTCCCTGATACCACAAAGGTTGGGGACCGCTGCTTCAGACGGCACAAATTTAGAACGAGCAGAATAAACCACGGGAGGCAAGCACACAGTTGACAAGGGAAGAGACAGAAAAACTATGCTCTTAACACACACTAGAAATAACTGTGGCTGTCGAGGCCTTTTAGCGAGGGGCAAACCATGCCACCTTCTTCTACGATTCCCAAGAGGTCAACACACACAGCATTCGTCTGTAAGACACAGGAATGGATTCCGACCTCCAGGTCATGAGACTAGGTAATTAGGATGCACAGCAATTCCCAAGAGGTCAACATTCGTCTGTAAGACACAGCGGAATGGATTCTGACTTCCAGGTCATGAGACTAGGTAATTAGGATGCACAGTTCCTTCTGTTTCACGCTTCTAATCTAGCAGCACGAAAGCTGTGTCTTTGAGGAGAGAGAAACCCTAGCGAGTAGAGCAGAGTGGCCCCCAGCCCGGCGACACAGCACCTACCACCTTCGCTCCAAGCGCTTGGCGACAGGTGGCCTCCCCTCACGTGCTCACCTTGCCCTCGACGCCCACGCCGCAGTCGGATTCCTGAATCATGCTGACGTCATTGCCTCCGTCACCTGAGGGTCACACGGACCAGAGAGAAAAGCCGGGAGATGGGGGAGAGGCGAGAAACGGAACCCCCACATTTCATTCTGACGTTCCGTAATCATACGTGTTTTCCCTGCAACGAATGCTTGCTAACTGCTTTTTCTGCTCTGCTCCGTTTAACCACGCCACGACCTGCGGTATCGGGCTCCTATTTTACAGAGGAGCTGAGTCACAGGGACCAGGTGACTGGCTGAGGGTCCCAGCCCCGCCTCTGAGCCGCGCCATGTCACCACTTATCAGCAATGACGGACATCGCACCTTTGAACGTTTACTGGGCACTGTGGCAACGAGCACTTTTTAAATGCCACCCCGTTTAATCCTCGCACGCACCCCTGGAGGAAAACGCTGTGACTACTCCTTTCTTTCTGCCAATGAGCAGACTGAGACTCGGACGGGGGAAGGAAGCCACTGGGCACCCGGCCAGCGAAAATCAGCAGAGCGAAACCCAGACCCAGCTCCTCGGTGTGTGGTCTTCACCCCGCCTCTCAGTGCTGCGTCCCGTCCCGTGTCACTGGCAGAGGAACTGCAAGCTAAGGAGAGGAGCCCCCGGGCACACTTACCTACTCTTCCTCAAAGGGAAACAGTAAAAATAATAGTTGTAACAAAAAGAGAGCCAAGTCTGTGTGGGGAGGACACCGCGGCCCGAGTAAAGTAGCCTGGGGAATCCGAAGAACACGGCGGCGGGGTCCGATCATCCTTACGGAAAACGGATCCCGCCCGCCACGGGGACAGGGCCTGGCAGCCACCTACCGACGGCACAGGTGAGCTTTCCTGTGCGTTCCTGGAGCAGGCGCACGATCTGGGCCTTCTGGGTGGGGGCGCAGCGGCAGCAGACCACGGCCGGGCACTGGCAGGCCAGCTCCATGAACTCGTACTCATAGTACTTGAGGCAAACCTGTTGGGGGCGGCGAGGCGGGTGGGTTGGCCAAGGTCGCGTCCCCCACGCCCGCAGGAAGGGGCGCGCTCCTGGGAGGACCCGCCTGGCGAGGTCCCTGTACCCACCTCCAGGGAGTCCCCAGAGATGACCAGGGCACAGTCATGCTTCCTGCGGAAGGCATTCAGCTCGAGGTGGGCCTCGCCGCGGTTGGTCACCTGGAAGAGAAAACGGGTGTGGGAGGCCTTGCTCTCCACGGAACAAACAGTGGCTTCCTGGAGCTGGTGTGAAGACAATGGCCACGCCGGCCAAGGAACCCTGCCCCTCCCCTGCCACCCGTGCCAAATCAAACCCTGTTATGATTCTGTGGGAACTGGGACAGCCCGTATACCAACCGTCACCTTGCATTTCCGCCAGGACGGCTGTGACCCACATAAGAAAAGCAAGAGCTAAAACCAACTGCGCCTTCTTCTGTGCCAGGCCCTGCGGTCAGCGTGCCTCACAGATCGTCCCCATTTACTGCTCGCGAGGACCCAGCAGGGTGCCCAACAGTGACAGCTCCCTTTACTCGTGAGGGAATGGAAGCAAGACAAGATCTCGCAGCCTGCCTAAGTGGCACGGCTAGGACGCCCTGGAGCTGGCAGCGGCAGCCAGCAGGGACGGCCAGCTTTTCTGTAAAGGCCCAGATGTTAACTACCGTAGGCTCCGTACACCTGACGGTCTGTCACAGCCACGCGACTCTGCTGGGGTAGTGCCTGAGTGGCCTCAAACAGTATGTAAACGGATGGCTGTATCTGCGTTTAAATAAAATTTTATTTACCAAAACAGGTGGCCAGCACATGGGCCACAGCTTGCGACCCCTGAATTCTAGAACATAGTCGACTCTCATTATCTGCGATCGTCACATTCTACAAAGTCACCGTGAGCACTGAATGAGTGAACAGTAAACCACTGCTCTTCGGGGACACACAGGGCTAGCTAGGTTCCTGCCAGCCTCTGGTCACAATATTTTTGTCAAGTGATCAATAGATAACCTGGTTTTACATGCGTTTCTGTTTAAAGGCATCTTTTAAAAATACACGTTGTTGACTTGTTACGATGGAACTCATGGCCAGCAGCGCTGGAACGCATGCCTGACCGAAGCTCACCTAACACACATAGTATCTCTGTGGGGCACATTGCCACCCTCCTGAACTTCAGCCCTGTGCTGGGGGCCATTTTACACAGCGAAGTTGCCAACAAAAAGCACGAAAGTGAGGGAAAAACTGGCATTAAGTAGACCGTGAAAAGGACACTTGTGTACAGCATGAGAGTTGAAACGAGACAGCAGGGCGTCACCTTGTCTGACCTCAGCTGGAACGCGCACCTGTCCATAAGTGACTCTGAAAGCACCGAGGGTGAGCAGGCGAATGCACAAATACAGAATCCACGAGGGTCGAGTGTATCTGCCTCTCCGCACAATGCCATTTGTGCTGTTCCCAAAACTACTGGATTTCTTGAAGCTTCTGTGACCAAAGGCAGGGGCGAGGGGCAGATCTCCCAAAACATTTAGAGCCCCTGTACTTCTGTGTGCCATGGACCAAAGGCAGGGGTGAGGGGCAGATCTCCCAAAACATTTAGAGCCCCTGTAGTTGTCTGGCACAGTGGCTCTGATTTCGGATACATGGGACAGGTGCATCCTGCCCCATTGGGTGCCCAGTGCTCACCTCCCAACTCGGCAAGGCCAGTCACAGCCCCTGGCTTCCGGCCTTGGAGTGGCTCCTTCTGTCTGCAGTGGTTGGCACAAGTTCTTGCCACAAGGGCAGGAAATTTCTCATGTGCCCATGCAACACACCTCCTTCTAAAGGCTCCTAGAGGTATTCCTTCAGGAGGGCACACAGGACAACACCTGTGATCTGGAATTTATTCCTTAACCGAGGACTTCAAGGGAATCCTGGACTCACAGGTACAGTTTCGCATGTAGGAGCTTACCCACATCCTACCTGTCGTCAGCTTTTCAAGGGACCACGACTCCCACCAGGTTAAGGGCAGCGTTAACCCCGGGCTGTAATGAGGTGTCCTTGAACCACCCCCGGAAGGAGCCCGTTAGCTTCACCTGGGTCATTAATTCCACCCAAACGAACGACGGAAGCCCTGCTTCCCCCGAGGTGGTCACTGTGCTTCTCCTTCCCCTCGTTAGGGGTTCACTCGAGGTGATGAGGTTACGGGGCAAACGGAGGCATCACCCCCACGAGACCCCAGAGCAGAAAACGCTTTACCAGCCGAAACACGTGGATGTCCTGGTTTCTGGTCACCAGATGTGCATTCTTCGCTGTGCACGTAGCTGTCTCCAGCTTGTCCCCCGTCAGCATCCAGACCTGAAATCACGGCATGAAAGGGGACCTCTCTGTCAGTGTCTGAGGCCGGCCCGTCACCTACGTCAGCTGAGTTTCTAAGAACATTGAGCTGAACTTGGTATGCCCCATTTACTTCCTCGAGGCTCATGGTTGTCCCCCATGCACCGCAGGAAACACCCAGTTCAGGGGCTTCAGGACACCAAGTGACCACTGCTGGTGGCATCAAAAGCTGGTGTGATGCTTTTCATACCTTAGACCCTAATCACAAAGCAGAAAACCGTCTGGCCACACACTTCAGGAGATATCATGAAGCGAGGCCTCTGACCTCATAATCCCCCTTCTGGGAACTTTTCTTAAAGCAATAAATAACCTCGAAGAAGGGGAAGCCTGCTGGGATGAGGGGTCACTTCCGTGTCCGACAGGAAACACTGACTTGTGACATTACAGATGGTCTCGCTGCGTGGCTGGAAGCCCCGTGTGTAATCTCGCGAAGGTTAACCCTGACTCTAAAACCACGTCAAGTTCTTCTACACCTCCTAACGAATCATTCTGCACATCACTGCTGCGGGCTCAGAGAGAGTAGGTGACTTGCCCCAAAGCCACACTGCTAGCAGCTGTCCCAACCAGAATCCGGGTGTTCCAAGTCTAAATAGAACATGCTTTGTACTCTGCTGATTTACCCTTTAGCACTTTGTTCTCTTTGCTCCCACCAGGGAGGGGCCTTAGAGCCACCAGACAAAAGAACTCTGGGCAGAGAGGAAGTCTAGGAAGGAAAAAAACGCAGCTTCCCACGTGCCCGCCATGCCAGGCGCCCAGCGAGCGCTGCTCAGACGCAGTGTGTTTTACCTTCGCCGTAACTTTATGAGGCAAGAAAAGGAAGCACTGAGGAGCCAGGCCACTGACCAAGGGACACAGAATTTGTCAGTGGAGAGGCAGGACTTAAACCCAGGCAGTACGGTGGCCGGGATGAAGGCCCCAGGCCCACCTGGGGGCCTTGCCTCTGGGTTTGGCCCTAATGCGTGTGAGCCTTCTCCCTCAACGTCCCATCTGGCCTCAAAAACAATACTGTTCTAAGTGGTCCCAGTTTGGTGCCAGTTTTCAGGGTTTTCTGTGAGAGAGCACATGCCAAACACGGAGCCAGGAGGCTCAGGTTCTAGAAAACCCCCAGAAGTCATCAGCACGCCATATGGCTCCTCGTGTCCCACGTTGAGACAATAGGAAAGAAGTGCCCAGACCCGAGCCCCATTCCCGGTGCCACACGTCCCCGTGGGAGAAGCTGGGCAGTGCGGCCACCCCGCTCGGCCTTGGCTATTGCAGCTGGAAAGGGGCCGCAGTGGGGTGTTTTCGAGTTCTACCCTCTTCTGGCCTGTGAGAGGCCATACCCTAGACCCTAATCACAAACCACCTGGGCCCCCCACACTCCCCCTCCCCTCCCATGTAACCAGGGAAACCAGAAAGAGAAGTCCAGTCCACGCTCAGTAAAACAGCTCATCACTGGGAGAGAATCGTTTTGAAGAGGAGAAAATTCTCAGGACCAAGTCAGGAGCAGAAGCTGGAATCTCCAAAACTCCGGGAGGAGAGGTCTTAGAAAGGGCCAGCGACAAAGTTTAAAGACCACTATGCAACAGGAAGTGGCCCGTCTGAGGTCAGACTGTTTTCCCAAAACTGGGATCTCGCTGGCAATTTCCCGTGAGCCAAAGGTCCATGACAGCATTCAATTTACAAACCTCCGTGGAGCTCCTTTATTATGGTGGGCCCAATCCGCGTGCTCACATGGCCCCGCTCACAAGACTTTTGCCAAATGCAGGCCCAAGGGTGCAGCGAGAGCTGCTCTGAGGCGGAGGCAGGTGGCAAACGTGCAGGAACAGGGTTTCAGGAGCTTGGAGCCAAGGAGCCAGCTGATCCTGTGCCACGGCCCACTAATGTGGAGCCTGCTCCCCGGCGCCCTCTCCTGGTCTCTCCCCATTAAATGAGTGGATGCATATTTTGGGGCCCCAAATAGTAGAGTAGATGTGGATGTGGATGTGGATGTGGATGTTGGACGTTGTGTTGTGTTGGATGTTGGAGGTTGGAGGTTGGATGTTGGATGGTGGATGTTGGATGACGTTGGATGTTGGAAGTTGGATGATGTTGGATGTTGGATGTTGGATGATGTTGGATGTTGGATGTTAGAAGTTGGATGTTGGATGTTGGATGTGGGATGTTGGATGACGTTGGATGTTGGATGACGTTGGATGTTGGATGATGTTGGATGTTGGATGATGGATGTTGGATGATGTGGATGATGTTGGATGTTGGATGATATTGGATTTTGGATGATGTTGGATGATGTTGGATGTTGAATGATGTTGGATGTTGGATGTTGGATGTTGGATGATGTTGGATGTTGGAAGTTGGATGTTGGATGCTGGATGATGTTGGATGTTGATGCTGGATGTTGGAAGTTGGATGTTGGATGTTAGATGATGTTGGATGTTGGATGATGTTGGATGTTGGATGATGCTGGATGCTGGATGTTGGATGTTGGAGGATCTTGTATGCTGGATGTTGCTGGATGTTGGATGTTGGATGATGTTGGATGTTGGATGTTGGATGATGTTGGATGATGCTGGATGATGTTGGATGATGTTAGATGTTGGATGTTGAATGTTGGATGTAGGATATAGGATGTAGATGTTGATGTAGATGTAGATGTAGATGAATGTAGATGTAGATGTAGATTAAATAAATATAAACATAAACATAAACATAAACATAAATATAAATATAAATATGGCAGTTCGTTGGGGCAGGCAGCCACTCCGTGGGGTGGTCACTCATTCACCCAGACCAAAAGAAAGACAGCTGGCTGGCCGGTCACTCAACAGGAATACAACGAACACCCTAAGCATGCTGGACGTGGCTTAGTACTGAGGGATAAGGAGACACATGCAGTCCTGCCTTCATGGAGCTCGGCCCGGTGGGGGAGATGGCCAGTGACAGCAAACATGCGAGACTTCAGGGCAGGAAGTGAGACAGGGCCACAGACATGGCCCCCGCACTCCTGGCTCCCTCTACAACAACGTCCACCACCCTCCCCTCTCATTTTTACACTCTGCTAGAGAGAGAACTGGTCTAATTCCGGAACTCATTTCCGTGTGGCCAGTCATGTGGCAGCCGGGTCGTAGGCAGGTCACCCTACCTTGATGCCCGCATTCCTCAAGATCTCCAGAGTGGGCCTCACGTCCGCCTGCAGCTGGTCCTCCACGCCCGTCAGGCACAGCAGCTCCATCTCCATCTCCAGGCTCTCGATCACCGTGGCCACTTTGAGAGAGCGGTCGTGCACACTCAGCTTGGCCTGGACATAGCGGGCCTGGGACACACCAGGGGACACGGTCACAGCTTAGGGTGGGGAGGAACGAGGCTGGCTGACTGACTGACATGGAGAGTGGAATGGGCTGTGCCTGACCCCAACATGGCACGTGGGAGGGGGGGCTCAACGGGGCGAGACGGGGCTTCTGGCCTCCTTCCAAGTGCATCAGCCCAGACCCTGGAGCTGAATAGAGCCGCGTTCCACCCTCAGTTTGACAGTCACCTGCCGGCAACTTCCAGAAAGTCACTTAACTTCTCTGAGCCTCAACTGTTTTCATCCATGAAGCAGCAACAACAGTCCCAACCTCGTTGGGCTGCTGCAAGGATTGGGAAGTCAAGATCAAGAAAACCAGTAGATCCTCCCACACAAAACACACGCCTCGTAACCAAGAACCCTTGACCACTGCTTTCCATGAACACAAGTCCCACTTCTGCAGACCGTCCACCCGACCCCTGTGCTCATCCTTCTCTAGCCTGCTGGCAAAGACCTCGATGAAAATCAAAACCCCCCAATGGGCTGACAAGAACTTATGCCTTTAAAATGGAAAGGGAGGTAGAATTGATCAGGGCTAGAAATCCTGTTAAATAAAACTTTACGAAGAACTCAAACGCGGAGAAGAGGCAGACCCAAGGGCGGTCCCTCTGGGTGGAGCAGGACAAGGGCCCCAGGCCTGTCCCCCCCTCTCACCTCTCCGTTCCTCCTGCCTCTGGCTTTATGCCAGGACTGGGGACACCACAAGGACCCTTCCCCTCAGGGGACACAAAATCTATGGGACAAAATGACAGTAAAGAAGACGTACTTATCCTTGGCTGTGAAAGTCAAAGATTTAGTTCAACTCCATCAATATTTTACAGCTTTAAGAAAATCAGGTCTCCAAGAGGGTGATTCATTTCAAATTTTCCAGAAGGTATACTATGTGCCAATGGCTATCCTACACATTGGCCATACAAGAGCCAAGCAGAATGACAAAGTGTCCGCTCTCAAAAAGATTTTATTCCAGAAAAGAGATTAAGAACGTTACACACACACACACACATACACACACACACACACACACACACACACACACACACACACACGCAAGGTCATTACAGACGTTGATAAGTGTAATGAAGAAAGTTAAACGGGGTAATGGGTAAAGAGTGATAAGGTGGGGCTGCCTGGGATGGGGAGTCCAGGAAGACTTCTCGGAGGCGGCGGCATTTGAGCTGCGAGCCAAAGGAAGCGAGGGAGTGGGCCGTGGAGCTCTGTCCGGGAACAGTGAGTTCCGTCCGGGCAGAGCGAAGAGCAAGTACAAAGGCCCCGCGGCAAACGTGAACCCAGCGCCCTCCGGAACGATGTCAGCATGGCTGGAGCCCAGTGAGCAGGGGGAAACGGGAGGGGGACGTCGGGGAGGTGGGCGGGGCTGAGAGGATGCTGGAACGGCCACAGAACCACTCACTTCGAAGTCCTGATACTGCTCCTCGGCTAGAGACTTCTTCGCCACCACGAGCACCCGAAGCCCTTCTCGTGCCATATTTCCACACTGAAAAGAAGATCGCGGTCAGCGGACGGTCACCTGAGGGCCCCCAAGCCCCCGGCTGGAGCCCAAGGGGACAGGCCCCTCCCAAGGGGCCAGCGAGGTGGCAGATCAGAACGTCACTGTCCCCTAAAGCAGTCTTCCCTGGGAAAACCCCCTGCAGGGGAGGCTGCGCGTGGCAGCTGCGGGCCAAGCACGGCCTCCATGCCGTCGTCTGTGACCGGCACAGCGTGCGTTCCGAAATTTAAGTCAACATTGTAAGATTGCACAGACAAAGCTGAATTTCAGGCTTGGTGGAGACATTGCACCTCTGACAAAAGTGTTCCCAAATAACGACCATCGATGATGGCTGCAATGCGGCTGCTTCCCCTGTGCTCCCAGAAAGCATAGCTGTCGAGTGGAGAAGCCAACACGTGGAACACACAAAGTGCGACCCTGTCGGAAAACCCGTCCCGGCCAGTTTTCATTTATTCAAGGTACCTGCCTGGCCCTAGTGGGCACTGGGGTTTGCAAACTCCCTAAGTGAAAATATAATGTTACTGGAATGCAACACGTGAACTGCCCACTGGGAGCTCAGAGATGAAATGTAAACGGCCTGACAGACCTGAGAGCTTGCGCCCTCCCTGCTGCTGCAGACTCCTTGGGTCACAGACCGAGACGGGCGGCCTGTGACGTGGTGGCCCCCAACGATCCCCACCTCCCGGCACCCACACCCTTGTATAATCACCTCCCTCGAGTGTGTGCCGGACCTAGTGACTTTCTCCCAACTGAACGTGGTGAAGGCGAGGGGCGGTCACCTTTGAGAACAGGTGACTTCTGTCTGTTCGCCCTTTCCCGCTCCCTCGTTTGCTCACTCTGACAGAGTCAGCTGCCACACGGTAAGATGGCCTATGCAGAGGCACACGTGGCAAGGGATGTGGTGGCCTCCAGCCGAACGGCCAAACAGCCGAATCCTGTGCACGACCACTGAGTGAGCTGGATGTGGGTCCCACCCCCGCTGAGTCTTCAGATGAGACCCCAGCCCCAGCTGACAGCTTGACCGTGGCCCACGAGAGACCCTGAGTGGACGACCCAGGCAAACTGTGCCCAGATTCCTGGCCCACAGCAATTACGAGAAATAAATGTGTGTTATGCTAAGCCACAATGTTTTGGGGTGATGTGTTATGTCGCTGCAAATAACGAATACAGAGACGCACCTCACCACCCCGTGCAAGGGGACACCTCCAGAACGTGCCACCGAGGCCTGGGTTTCCCTCTCCGGATCACACTCACCTCTTCCTCTAGCCAGTCATTGTACCGCACGATGCCGGCCATGACGACGTCCGCCCCCTTCATGTAGAACGTGATTTCCCCAGTGGATTCATCCTAGAGAGGGGCAGGAAGGCACGAATAACCAAGAGGAACCCCACTCTGCTCCGGTGCCCACGCCCCACGACAGACGGTAATCACAGCGTTCTTAGCGGACGGCGATGTCTTTTCTCTCGGCCAGAGATAAAAAGCGAGAGGGGGAACCTTCACTCCGGGGCAAAGGCCGCAGAAAACAGAAGAAAACGCAAAGCATTCAAACGATTGTTTAATTGTGAAAGCAAGATCAAAAGTGTTTAGGATCTGTTTTTACAGTGATGGACCGCCACGCTCTCAGATAACTTTCCGTCGATGTATTGGACCGTCGGTATCACCACACTGTGGTCCGCCCAAAGGAAATGGGCAAGAAGATAATTATCTAGACCAGGGCTTCTCAGCCCTGGCACCACGAACATTTGGCTGGAGCATTCTCTGCCGTGGGGGCCAGCCTGTGCCTTGGATGATATTTTGCAGCATCCCTGGCCCTCTACCCACTAGATGCCAGCGGCACCCGTCAAACAAAATGTGGCAAACGAAATGTCTCTAGACATTAACAAATGTCCCCTGAGAGGCAAACTCTTAGTTAAGAACTTGCTGATCTAGGTAATTCCAAACCCCTATGTGTACCTGAGAACTTAGCCTAGAGATCAGAGGACCCAGATTTTCAGTTCGCACTGACCAAATTTTCTGGGGAGCGGGTAAAACCACTGCACAGGCATCAAATGCTTGGACCCGGCACCAGCTCCTGGCTGATTCCCCACTGGACAAGCTACTTCTTTTCTCTAAACCTCAGTTTCCCCATTGGGAAAACAGGGATACTAAAAAGTCTTATCGCATAGGTTTTTGTGGCTTGCAAGAGGTCACCTACGTAGAGCACAAAGGGCCAGGTACACAGAAGATGCTTACGTAGCGTAATCATTCCTGTTTGGGTGACAGTAACTCCACAAGTCCCTTAGTCACATTGTATGTGGACAACAAGACTGATCAACCGAGAGGTTCTCAATGGGGCGATTTTGTCCCCCAGGGGATATGTGGCAATGCCTGAACACATTTTTGGTTGTCACGACCTGGGGGGGAGGGGGGTGCTGGCAACTAGTGGGTAGA